AGGGGGGGTTTTACCGTGAGGGGTCTCGTAGGCTTGGATGACCTCAGCCATGAACATGGGCCGTTGGCGGGCGATGGTGGCCAAGGAACCCAGCGCCGCCGTCAGGTTGATGCTGGAGATGGCCGGGTGCACCATGAACTTGAGGAGCTGCTCCAGGGCGGCTTTGCCTTCCTCCCACAACGCGTCTGCGGGCAGGCGGGGGACGCTCAGCTGGGGTGTCCCCCCACACCCTGTGTCACCCACCCCTCCCCCACAGGAAGGGGACCCCAGCGCCCTCACTGTATTTGATGTAAGGGTGATCCTTGGGGATGCGCTCGAGGCTGATGTCGTTCTCGTGACGTTTGGGGACGTCGGAATCGGCCATGCGGGGGGAGAGGGTGATGATGAGGCCTTCCACGAATTTGATGGCGTGAGTGCGGATGCCATCGTTGTCCGAGTCGAGGAGGAGGATGATGTCACTCGCCATGGCCGCCATCATCTCCCAACAAGCCTCCTGCAGCTCGCTGATCACCTTCGACTTCACCATCCACTGCAGGAAGGGAGAAAGCGGGGGGGGAAACCTCGGGGTTCCTCCCCGCCAGCACCCATGGGTGCCCACCTCCCGGCTCTTTCCGCAGCACCCAAGGGTGCCTCACCTGCAAGGCCACCTTGTAGAGCTGGGTCATGGTGAGGATGGCCTTCTTCACCACGTTGACGTTCTCGTCCTTCAGCAGCATGTTGAGGTTGGCGATCAGCTTCAGCAGCAGCTCAATGTCCCGTTTGCTGGGGTGGGGGGACGGGCACAAATGGGTGGGGGACGGGCACAAATGGGTGCTCCCTCACCCACCAAACGGCCCCTCCTGGGAGAAAGAGGGTGCTCAGCACCCTACGTCTCCTCCCGCTCGTCTCGCCTGGACGGGGGGCATGGGGGGGTGGTGGTGCCATGTGCCCGCAGGGTTTGGGAGTGGGGTGCTCAGCACCCACCCTGTCCCCCAAGTGGGTGCTGAACCCCCCCTCTCTGTCCCCCCCAACCCTTACCACGCCTC